TCAGTTAAACAAACATTTGTTCAGGTTGCATCTCAGTACCATATCCTTGTGTAGGGCTTGTAATCAAGACAATAGAGCACATTCTCTGTGACTAGAAGAGATCAGAGGCACCGCCCTCGACGACGTGATCGCCTACGTGGAATCACTAGGCTGGATGACGAGCTAAGGGTGATCTCTCCTCGTGTGTAAACGCACAATGATCCCAAACTTACAGATACAGAGAAGGACGTTGCAAAATACAGCCTATTAGGAGAGACAAGACGAATTAGATCCTAAAAATACTGCAAATGAGGGTTCAAGATCACCAACGAAGAGATCCCATTATGGAGCGTGTTTTTGCATGAATTTCATCTGCACCAACCACAAAAGTTTCAGAGGAAAATAATGATCAAGTCAAGCCAGATTTGACCAAGAACATCAGATTGATGTTTCAATGGAGAATCCATTGGAGACCAACAAATAATGACATCTGGTGTCAACGAATTAAATCTGTATAAAAATATACTTATATACCTAGATAGAATATGCCGCCTTCTGGGGCTGTCGCCCTCGTGCGGCGCACGAGTTGCACGAGTGTAAAATCCGGCACTGGTCCACAGTGCCAGCACAGCCATCTAGTGTTCAGTGACTTTCGCGTACATAGAATCTTTTATGCTACACGGCCAACGACGACGCTATGGCTAACGACGAATCGACCGACGACCAATCCATTATCGTCCGTGTAGGGATGAAAGTGACGATTGTGTAAGTTTGACCACACTGTGACCAGCTTGAATAGCGAGATTTTGCAAGAAGTTGCTGACTTATTACGAAACTCGTCTCAAGGTACAACTTACGAAGACCTACAAATCCGCCTTCTGGACAGATATGGCATCAATTCTTACGAAAAAATTCGCCAGCTGATGGAAATGACTTTGGGCGATCTTAAACCAACTCAACTGCTGCACCGAATGCAAGCTTTGGCCATGAAGAACATTACCACACGAGTACTTAAAAACCTATGGCTCAACCGCTTACCACCCCAAGTTCGAAGGGTTATGTCCGTGCTTGATGGGTACCTAGAGCAGCTAGCGAAGAAAGCCGACGAGTACATACGCAGTGCCAGCCTTCCAGTTTTGTCTATCAATATAATAAGAAACCTGCCTTAGAGAAAACGATGCTCGAACAGGTGAGCGCTCTGTCCAAGAAAATCCCATAATGTTACAGATACAGAACGGAACTGAAATTGCAAACAGGATACGCTGTAACATTCTAAGAAGAAGCCTAGCCTTTCCAAAGGCCTGGAGGCGCATTGGGTATCGTTCATACCAAAACCTGAAAAACTAGGACAGGATATGGAGAAGCCCCTAAGACCCATTATTCTTATATCATTTGAGCTTAAGATACTGGAAAAACTTGTGGATGGGCACATTAGGGACGGTGTTCTGGTAAACAGACCACTACACCCAGGGGCAGATAGGCCCACCGGGATACCGGGAAATTTGCCGGTGCGCCGGTCCTTCAGGCGCCGATTGACGCCGCCGGGGGAAGTTCGAAAATGATTGAAAAAGCAGAAAAGCCAGATAGCTAATTTTTGGATTGATTTGGCAGTTGGCAACTCTGCAACTCCTGGAACTCTATAAATCATAAGTATCCATGCCGTTGGCGCCCATGCCAATCCTATGGCCGTTTGCACCGACCATTTTAAGGGAGGCTTAAGGATAGGTATAAGTACCTTAAAATGACATTTTTACATGTAAAAATGTTACTTTAAGGAAGTAGGTATTCTTTAAAGTTTAAGCCTCCCTTAAAATGGTCGGTGCAAACGACCACTAAAACAAAACTAAAACCACAGCTACAAAATCAATACAACACATGGATGCGGATACGGATACGTAGAAAAATTTAGGCTTTGCAAACTAGCTCCAGATTGGCGTGTTCGACCAACTTCGGCCCGATACGGTTCACGTTTGGTCCGTACGCAAAGATACGTTAGCTCATGGGTCAAAAGTACGTGAACGCGAATTCGATGTTTTTGCGCATGTGTACGGTTCAAAACCTACGTTTACGTATGCGCAAAAAAACATGTTTAATTCCTCTATTATTAGAGATTGCATGCATAATGGAGTAGAAAAAGACGGGCGACAAGAGAGTCTCGTCTCTATACTCGAGCGACGGGACGCAGATTTTCGGCGAATAGAGTAATTTCGTCGTCTTTTCTAGTAAGCGCCCATACCATTCCTAATGTTTCATGGCACGTTCCATTGCTTGCTATGTTCCGTTTTGAGGTATGTTCTCCTCTTCTGCCTCTTTTTACTATTCCAGATTGCATGCATAATAGGGCCGCGGCCGGTTTCTCAATAGCGAGTCACCTCCGGTTGGTTTTAACCTAACTCCTGGGTAAGCATGTGCAGTTGCAATGTTTACATTGGAGTTATGCTTAACCCGGGAGTGACTCGCTATTGAGATCCCGGCCCATAGAGTAGAAAAAGATGGGCGACAAGAAAATCTTGTCTCCGTAGTGGTCTATTCTCACAGAAATCCATAAACCAATCAAAGCGAATTTCATTGGTTGAAAATAGTTAGAAAACTGGTTGTTGGTGATTTGCACCAATCAAAAACGCTGTGACTGACTTATTATTTCTGTGAGAACAGACCTTCGAGCGGTGCGGCACCGACTTTCGGCAAATAGAGAAATTTCACATGGAATTTCGTCGTCTTTTTTCTACTCAACAGAAGGCTATGCGCAGGAGTCGATCGCTTGTGCTTTTCATTATTTTTTTACTGGGCAGGCGCGGCGCCGCTTCAATCGACTTCCCGCGCCGGTCTGAGGGGCCCCATCCGCCCCTGACTACACCCCGGACAATATGCGTATCGGACAGAGATGTCATCAGAAACAGTGCATCCCCAGCTGGTCAGCATAGTGGGGACCACACTAGCAAACAAAGGTGATGCTGGGTTCCTTCTTGGATATAGAGGGAGCTTTTGACAACACTTCCTTCGATCCAATAACCAGATCTCTCAAGCACAAACGAGTTGAGGACACCTGCTATGTGTGGATCAACTCCATTCTAAGAAAGAGAATGGTAGAAATCACCATCGCAGAGGAGACATTGGTGGCCAGGGTGTACAGGGGATGCCCACATGGCAGGTTATTATCCCTACTCCTGTGGAATCTATTGGCGGACGGCCTGCTTAAGGTGCTCACTGACGGAGGACACCGTGCCCTCGGATATGCTGACTATATCATCATCTCACGGGGCAAATTCAATTCTACAGTTAGGGAGCGAATGCAAGACGCTTTAGACCGAACAACGAGATGGGTGGATAGAGAAGGGCTAAATATTAGTCCAATAAATCCACATCGTGATATTTACCCGAAGACATAAGATACAAGACCTGGGACCTCTTAGATTAAAAGGTGAAAATATACAGATTTCGAGCGGGGTTAAGTACTTGGGAGTAACACTGCACTCAAAACTTACCTGGAATCAACATCTGGAAAACACCATCAAAAAAGCGGTAACATCACCCATGATAGCCAGGCGCTTACATAGAAAATTATGAGGCTTAAGACCGGACATGTTATATTGGACATACAACATGATGGTTAAACCTATCTTGACATACGCCTCCCTGGTGTGGTGGCCAAAGGCACTGCAGGGAAGTGCCATACGCCCAGTTAGCAAGTTGACTGGCCTGCTCAAGAATAATGGGGTCAATTCGAACCACACCAACAGCAGCCATGGAGACCCTTAGCTCCCATCTCTGTGATACGGGGTTTTGGCAAGGATGAAAGCGTACAGACTGCAGAAGACAACTGTCTCCAACAAAAGGACGGGACATATGGTAATCGTAGAACTCGTGGGGGGAAAAATTTTGAACACGACTACATGCCAAGACGATACTGCCTGAACAAATCATTCGAGGTGAGCTTCCCAAGCATAACTGAATGGGAACGTGGCATACTGGAGACCAAAAAACAAGACTAGACCTGCTACCGGAGCAAGGGTATACTCCGCCTACTATAGCGATCACTATGCACTGGGAAGACATGCCTATGTTTTTCAAGTAGAGGTATACGCTATACTCCAATGCGCAGCGGAGAACAACAGGAAAACCACAGCCAACAGGCAGATCCTTATAATGTATGATATTCAAGCGGCACTGAAGGCCCTTTCGAGCTAGACAGTGTCATCAAGACTAGTATGGGAATGCCAGGAACAACTCAAGGCTCTGGCGCACCAGATTAAGGGAAAAACTATCTATCTGATGAACTCGCAAAGAGAGGGTCAGAGACACAACTTATCGGTCCAGAACCGGCTCTAGGGATGACCAGAAACCACATCAAAGACTGGATTCGTGCAGAACATCGGCGACATTGGACAACTTCCAGGCAGAATCATGGTAGGGAATTCATCAACCAACCATGCAGCAAAAGGGCCGCAAAACTGCTACAATTGAACAGGAGCCGACTGAGAACCACGAGACTCTTGACTGGCCACACACCAGTAAAAATCCACCTGAACAGGATGAAGCTATACGACGGAGACCCTAATTGCAGACTGCAATAAGAAACCCGAGACAGCCAGACACATCCTGGTGAACTGCAAGGCACTGGATCGCAGAAGACACAACATTTTCGGGCAACTAAACGTAGACCCGGAAACAATAATGAAACACCACCCAGTAAAAGACCTGTACAACCTCGTACAAGGCACAAAAATACTGGAGTGGTTGGAATAAACCACACAGGCTAAGTACAATAAGCCTTCTCAGGCTTTAGCGCTGCATGGAGACAATAAGTCGGATAGGCCTAGAACAAGGGGAAAAAAAAAGATAAGTATAGAAACTTGAACTTTCTTAATTTCTAACTGGATCGTTGAACTAAGAAATCAGCTGCTGAGCAAATAAATCATAATTTGAAAGCCTTTTGGAGTGAAGCACTGTGAAGCTAAAATCAAAATTACAATCCAGCTGCTCTAAAAACAATATTGCTAAATAAAAACAACAACCCAAATGGATTTCTTCAATATAGGCTATATTTTACAACAAATTAGGATTTTTCCGGAAAAACTCGTCCCACTCTCGAACGTTTTCGCATGGCCATCGCATCAGTTCCTCCCCTTTCGTGTATTTCGTGCACCAAGTGCCACTTTCGTCCTTGAGGATGCTGCTAACGCCATCGGAACATTCGCATTTCGGAAGTTTGGGCATGTTGCAGGGCATCACGTGGAATTGATCTGGCAATAAAACACAGAAAGAGTGTTTCCCATTAATGTCCAGATTTCATACGTAAAAGTACTAACACACACACACAACTTCTGCCAAATATCAATAATATGATTTCGTTCCATTTTAGGGCATCAAGACAATACATAATATAAAACCGACATAAAGTAAATTAGTATTTTATATTATTGACAATATTATAATATACGACAAAGATGTTCTAATTGGAAATAGCTATCTGACTAACTTTAACCGTCCTGTGTGGGGTTATAGGGTTTAATTATCTTAGAATATATTATTACAAAGGTGGTTTCTATGTGTATTACCTAAGGCGACGCATTGTAAGCCAGATTCTCCAATTTCAGCCTGATAATCTTGCCAGCATTTACAGGACGACGTCGATATTACCTTGGCCGAGTCGGCAAAAGACCATAATAATAGCACTAGCGTGGGAATTGCTAGCAATCTTTGCCTGGAACAAAAAAATAATTAATGATAATGGAAATGTCTATATTCCAAAAAGCTCTGTTTGAAACAGGAAGCTTTGTCGGATTTTTAATCTTTTTTAAAATAAAAACATCCTGATTTATCTTACATTCATAATAATGAGATGTTTCATCTGGCGGCTCGCTTGTTTCAGTTTGAGATTCACAATCTTTCAATTCAATATTTCTGTTTTTGTCTTTAGTTTTCTCATAAGCTTCATTGTCTGATGAAACTATCATTTGCGATGGATTCCGTTCTTGATTTTTCTGATTTTTGCTTGTTAAATCTTTCTGCTCTTTTTCTTTAACTTCATGTTGTGTCGAATCTTTTTTCAATCTTTTAGCATATTTTTGTTTATTTTTCCTTCGTTTCTTCAAATCCTCTGGCTCTTGTGATATTACTGAATCTCTACTTTCCGATGAAACTGTCATCGTTTGCGATGGATTTCGTTCTTGTTTTTTCTTATTTTCGCTTGATAAATATTTCTGCTCCTTTTCTTTAACTTTACATTCACAATAATGAGATGTTTCATCTGGCGGCTCGCTTGTATCAGTTTGAGATTCACAATCTTTCAATTCAATATTTCTGTTTTTGTCTTTGGATTTCTCAAAAGCTTTATTGTCTGATGAAACTGTCGTTTGTAACGGATTCTGTTCTTGATTTTTGATATTTTCGCTTGATGAATCTTTCTGCTCCTTTTCTTTATGTTGTGTCGAATCTTTTTTTAATCTTTTAGCATATCTTTGTTTATTTTTCCTTCGTTTCTTCAAATCATCTTGCTCTTTTTGTGATATTACAGAATCTCTACTTTCAGATGAAACTGTCGTTTGCGATGAGCTTCGTTTTTGATTTTTCTTATTTTCACTTGATAAATCTTTCTGCTCCTTTTCTTCAATTTTATGTTGTGACGAATCTTTTTTCAATTTTTTATCATGTTTTTGTTTATTTTTTCTTCGTTTCTTCGAATCCTCTTGCTTCTGTTGTGATATCACAGGTTCACTTTCCGATGAAGTTGTATCTTTGAATTTATTTTTTTCTTCTTGTTTACTATTTGTTTCCGATCCTTTATTTTCCAATTTGTCTTGTTCCTTTTCGGAATCTGCATCTTTACCTTCTGATGGTACTGTGGTCTGTGACGAGCTATCTTTCAATTTTTTTCGGGTTCTTGATTCATTGTCTCGAGAATCAGTTCTCTTTCGACGCTTCTTTTTAGGTTTTTCATCATTTGCACTATCAGTTTCCGAAATCGAAGTTTGTGTCCAGCTCGTTATCATTTTTGCTGGCATTATTTCATCTACGACTGCACATTTTTGAACAATACATATACACTCCTCATTAATCTGAATATTTTCATCATAATGGGTAACTGGAATGTGACAGAAAATGTTTTGATCATGATGAAATTTCACTTGTTGTTGCTGCTCTACATTAAAATGTGCATTTGCATCAGGAAGATGAAACTGTTCATATTTGTTATTGTAAGTACAAGATTCTAATCCTGCACATTTTCGGCCAATACATATACACTCCTCATTAATCTGAGTAATTTTATCTTCATAATAGGCAATTGGAATGTGACAGAAAGTGCTTTGATCATGATGAAATTTCACTTGTTGTTGCTGCTGTACATTAAATTGTGCATTTGCATCAGGGAGCTGAAACTGTTCATATTTATAATTGCAAGTACAAGATTCTAATCGTGGATTCACAAATTGCTGACATTCTGGAGATTGAAAAGTGAATAAAACACCTCCAGGAATGAATTGCTTTTGGGCGCACAAAACTTGCGGGTATTGTTGATATGCGAATGGGTTTTTCACAATTGAAGTATTGAGAGTGTCACGGATGCTTCTTTGTTGTTCTTGTGATAAAATTACATTTTCACCGTTTATTATGGTTGGCGCCATGGATTTGATAGCTTCATCGTATTGGTTGATGTGTGTGGTGAAAAATGGATGATTATTCATGAAATATTTACGAAAATTTTAGAATAAGCCAAATATTTGATTGACGTGGATTGTATTTTGAAAAAATGACATGACGTATTGACATTTTTTGCATCTATAGACATACATTTATTCAACCAAAAAGAATCAGCATCTTGCTAACAGCACTTTTCATCTCTAGAATAATACCATACCTACCTAAAAATAAATATATCTATTTAATTACCATTTGAAAAGAAAAATAACAAAGTTGGATCTATTCTGGTTAAAACAACCGCAAACAAAGAAGCACCCAGTTTTAATGATGCTCTTCGAAAATTTTCTTTCAAAAATTCAATGCTGCCCTGTTATACATAGTTATGAAACAAGCTAAATTGCACAGTGAATGAATAATGGGTTGTTTGCCTGAGTTTAAAGTTCGAATGAATACAATACTCTAAACTTTCGAGGAAAATGAAATACAATAGTTAATAAAAGGAATACAATGGCTAGTATAATAGTTTTTAGAAACTTTTATAAACTCAGTAGCTTGAGAAACAATACTAAATTTATTAATATTTAATTGGTATACTTACATCTTCATTATCAATATGCACAAAATAATTAAACGCTGCACATACTGTTGGGCTTCAAGTATGAAGAAGATTTAGCATGTTTTTTTTTCTATGATAGCCCGCTTGCATGTAAGTCGCGTAACTGGTTGAAGATAACTGCTTTTTTTAGTACGAGGTTACGGTAAAAACTGTATCTTTTCGTGTTAATTTGTTGTCGATTTGTTTTTGCATTTGTCCACGGACTAAAAACATAATGTTTTCTGCTCGAAGTGACCCAGAAATAGAGAAACTTAATCTGTTTTCGCACGATGTGTTAGGAAACGGTGACACTTTTTACATGGATTTGTTTTGTATGATAGAGTGAATTGATTTTGAAGAAAATGATTAGGAAAGGATTATAATTTCAATTACTAGATGCGATTTTCCAACATTCTTGAGAAATTGCTCCTGTAATTCCAAGACATGAATACCTACCTTTGTACAATTAATTGCGGGCGGCGGCGGCGCTTCACAAGAACCATTTCATTCAAACGTGCATTTCATTTGATTTTTTTATGCCTATCTATAATTTGGTTGAAATATAAGTATCTATCCATTTTCTTGATAATCTAATACAGCCAGTCTTTTAGTAGTGACATTTGTATGACACTATTATGTAATTTTGTAAATTTATATCCAAGTCACTGATTGCCCGTTACCTTAGCTGGGATTAGAAATAAACCAAAACTATTATTGCTCAATGAAGAAGTGCACTTGCATTTCTCAGCAAATGAAAAATTTGTTAACAATTTTACCTACTGGCGTGCCGGTGTGGTATGTATACTTTTCAACACACATTCGCGTGCGGTAGTGAAGTAGTACTTTATATATTCAAAAAGCAAAAATAATCCAAAGGTATAGGATAGGGTAGACCCTAATACCAGTAACCAGAGCCTATGATAATAGTTAGATATGATATATTTAACTAAAAACAACTAAATCAAATACATACTAAATTTTAGTACTCTTCAGAAAACAATAGAACAAAAACGCAAGACCGCGAGACTCTGTTCCATCCATATATGTTCCATCCGAAAAAAGTACAGAGTTAGAGGTAAATTATACTCGAATTTCAAGATAGGATATACAATGTAAAATATGCTTTGTTAGAATTAATGAAATATTTTTTCTCTATGACTTCTCAAGTCTTTGAAACTACTCCGAAAAATCTAATAGGTGATTCGAATCTATAGGATTAGAGATTAAAGTTTACCGGTAATTTTCATTTGTTCTTTCTCAGTGGTAATTTACCGGTAATTTTTCGGTAATTTTGGAAATATTTCATAAAACAAACAATTATGACCATATACTACATATACGTTCAAAGATTATATACTTTCAGGATTTTTTACCTAAACAACCATTTATCATAATAGTGTTTGTTGTAAAATCTAAGCTCATAGAAATATTGCAATAAACAAATAATAATAGGTAATCGTAATAATACCTAATTCCTCGAACGAAAAACGAGCAAAGAAAATGAAACAAAAATAAAACAGAACTAAATTCTCCTAATTTCCTAATGAGATAGACAAAAACACTTGTGGAAAAGCATTACACCTAACTCTTGTGGAAAATGTCTTTTCCACCCTTGACAGCTTGCCAACTGCCTTCGCGGGCGGAAAAGAACCACTTTCCACACTTGTAAGGTAAATAACTATATGCGCGTTATACAGATTCACAACTAGATGGCGAATAATGTATGAAAAGGATTGCGCCTAAATGTGATTTCATTCAGGAAGCCTTTCTGAAAATTACCGGTAAAGAAATTGGTCGGGTTAAATTACCAAAATTACCTTACCAAAATTACCGTTACCGCGGTAACGTTACCACACTTTAATCTCTATATAGGATATATTAATAAATATTATCCTGATGAAAAGTGAGGAAAATATAAGTAGGTATATCTCCCATGTAACTTTTTGTGCAATAAAACTAATCAAATGAAAATGTTTCCTCCTACTTCGGTTACCGTAAGGTGGGGATACTTGCAACAGTGGCACAACTTGCAACAATATTCATCGGGTGGAATTTTTGCTTTCCCCCTCCTCTCACTTGAGTCGCGCGTCAACCGCTAACATGTTACCGTTTAGAACGGATCAGTAGGTTGAAATGTGAGTAGGTTTAGCGTTAAAAAAATTTAAACACGAAAAATTTGGCGCCATTTTCTGACAGCTCTGGTAAGTGCTCTAAATTGTTGCAATATAACTTCTCCCGGGCAGAGCTTATTTACCCCAGGATTTGTATCAAATTTGGATATGATGTGCTTGAATGCTTAGTCTAAAACATTGAATATCTAGTTTTGAGTTAAGTTTGAAGGTTTTCGTGAATAGATTTTTTCAAAAATTGCATGTACAAAAGTGGGTAACTTGCAACATGCCTTGCAAATACAAAAATAGTTAGGGAGTAGGACCTACCGTAATTATTCCAACGAAACTTTGGAAAATGCATTAAGGGCCATCGAAAACGGATCAGGGATTCGGAAAGCATCGCGAGAATTCGGGATTGACCCATCAACACTTTCTCGGAAAAGAAGAAACTTGTTTCCCCTTTATCAGGGTAGGCAGCCTGTATTTCCAAAGGAAGAGGAGGAAAAATTGACCAAAACTGGCCAAAATTAGCCAAATATTTTTTTTTTTAAATATTTTGTGTTGCAAGTAAGTTAACACGCGTTTCTAAATACAATTACTACTGAAAAAATCCACTTGTTGCAAGTATCCCCTTGCAGGTGTTCAACTTGCAACATCAAGTTTTTTTTTTAAATATATATCAAATAATAATGTTTTTCAAAGTTTTTTGTTAGAATCGGATACAAGACCACAAGACTAAAATTTTGGCACCAATTATGTCAAATTCGACAAAAAAATAAAGAAGGTATCGGCAAAAGAATTTTGAAAATGTTGCAACTAACCCCACCTTACGGTAATTAATTAAATTCAGTTTTGTAAATAATTCAGAACTCAGTTCCTAAATAAAGCAAAGTTAGAAACGCGCTTTAAAAACAAATTACTCAAGTTTATTTAAGTTAACTCCCACCAGTAGAGTTTTCTACTGCGAGGGGTGGGTTGAAAATCATTAAATACTATACTCGAAGCTGAAGCGCCTAGGCAACCTATTAATATTTCAGTAGTATGAAATCCGAAAGTGCATAATTAATACGATGAATAGCTAAACAGAACGAGTTAATCCTGAAAAGCTTAGTACCCCAGAAAGATTAACAAAATATATAGAGCGGAATTTGCATGGAATTATAAAACAGCCGCTGGATTTTTAGTTGAGAAAAAAGAACCATCTCGAGGGACCGTTTCGGCTTTATTGCATTCTTAAAGTTTCGCATGGAATTTTTTTTCTGAAGTCGAATTTCAATTTGATGAAGTTGTACGGAAGCAGTTTTTAATTCTTCAATATTGCTCGTGCTCTGAATAGGTTGGGTAGGCTTTGCTGGTGATTTCCTGATCCTATTAGCCTGGTTCTCAGGCTTTTCAGTAAACATAAAATTGATAAGTTCTTTATTGGAGTCAGGAATAATTTTCCCAATTAAATCCTTGAACTTTATGTATTCATTTGTGTTATCTCCAATTTCCTGTTCACTCTTCAAAGACCTGATTGTTTCCCCGCTAGCACTTAGCACACCATCTCTGTGTCCGATTTCTTCCTTTAGAAATGCTGCCTTTTTCTGTAACTCTTCTATGGTTGCTTGATGATTTGCGAAGGTAGCGGCGCCGTTGCATAAACTTGCTTTCAATAATTGTAATTATATTCCTTGAGTGTCTTTGCTTGTGTGCTTCTCATTAACCAAAAATCCAACGGTACCATTAGAAGATTCTCCTCTATAACGTAATAGGTGTCCCAACGAAACCAGTGGCAGATAAAATGCAGTATCTGAAAACGCATGTGAGATGGGAAGCTGGAAGACTGATCCAGCACCTGTCTATAACAGAAACGAACTATGACCCTGCTTGGAATATTCTCATTGACTGATACAGCAACGCAACAACATACTTATAGGCTCCAAACTACTAGATAGGATCTTAGATCTTCCAGTGATTAATTACGAATCATCATTCAAGATTTTAAACAGCTTCACGATACAGTTGTGGAATGTCTTGAAGCCATCAATAATCTAAGTATCGATACTTCCAATTGGGGTCCTATTGTCAGTCGCATCATCTGCCGAAAATGGGATCATGAAACCAACAAGCATTACGAATAAGCGCTAAGCAAGCCCCATGGAATACAGGACTTTGTTGAAATAAGGAAATTTCTTCAAGCAAGATTCCAGGCATTAGAAGCAATACAAACTCTGCAGAGTGAGAGAGATGAATTCGATTATTGTCTATTCCCGGCTCTTGAATTCAACTCACTCATAAAAAAATTGATTAACAAACGACGTTCAATTCAATGTTTATCTGTCAACTCCTGTTACAGAGAAATTAATGTTAAGTGTGAGAGAGATACAACCATTATCAGGCAAAAAAATATATAGAGTGAGAGAGATGAAATCGATTTTTGTCTATTTTCGGCTCTTGAATTCAACTCATTCAAATTAATTGACAAACGACGGTCACATTCAATGTTTATCTGTCAACTCCTGTTACAGAGAAATAAGTGTTAAGTGTGAGAGAGATAGAACCATTATCAGGCAAAAAATATACAGAGTGAGAGAGATGAAATCGATTTTTGTCTATTCCCGGCTC